AAGCCTGGACATTAATTTATCGTGGGAAATGTTGTATACAGAGTTGAAAAGTCGTACATATAAGTTTTTATGTTATTGATTTTGGTAAAATTTTGCGATTTCAAATTTTCCAAAAGTTTCTTGGAATTCTTTTAAAAGTATCCACATCTGATTTACACCACTTCTCGAATATATTGTTGCACAGTACTCCTGAAGTTTCTCCTTCACTGCTTTTAATATTTTAGTGAGGAGTAAAGAAAGAGGCTTGGTAGAAGATTTACTGAACCCGCTATGTATCTTTGTTTGTAAGGATTTTTATGAAATTTCGGAATCCAATATAAATATGGAATTCAAATTCAATTTGGTTGTAAGGAATATTAAAAATATTCAAAACTGATATATATGATTTTGAAGAATTTCCTCTATAGAAAGGGAGTTATGGATATACGTTAATTGGATTACCACTTGCAGAATAAAATCCAGGCTCCTCTAAAATACAATTAAATAACGAGCCTTACAAAGAAAGACAATGTTGTTATCTGGGGGTCGTAACATAAAGCTTGCTAAGTTTTTGACTTAAGTATGGTCATAAGTATGTTTTAGGTGCAATCATAAGACCTGCCTAAGTACTACTTAAGTATGTCTTAAACCGTAACATAAAACGGACTTAGCTAGGTCTTAGCTAAGTCAAACTTATGCTCAAAATATTTTTTTATGAATCATCCTAGTTTTTCAATTTATTTATATATGTGTTTGTAAATATGATTTATTTACGTTTTTTATCACATGTAAATTAAAGTTGACGTCCTTGCCTATCGGTTTTAGCTAGGTTAGATTAGATTTCGTAATTAATAAAATTAAATTCTGTTTAAATAATTCTGAATATTTGAAAACAAATATTGCACGCTTACAAAGTGGCACTAGTGGTTCATTGTAAATGCGTGAATATTGTTAATCACTCGAGACTGCGATGTTTTCAGTTTACCGTTTGTTGTTATTCTTTCGTTTGACAAATGTTCACTTGCCTTCAAATTGTCTTTCTCGCAGACATGGCACGATAACCCAGCGTAGGTACAATGTACTTGAAATTGAAACTCTTAATAAAAAAGTAAAAAACAATAGGGATATTTGAATTCTGTTCCTCCCATATCAGCAAGCAGAGACTGCAGACGTTTTATGGTATACTTATTTACAATTTAATGAAGGATTGAAAAGAATTGTTTTCAGAAAACAATTTTTCGTATATCTCCAACTTACATTTAACAACAACTCTCTCTCTCTCTCTCTCTTACGTTAACGGTAGTGAACCCTGTCTGAATCCTTGCTTGTTGCGTTCTACATTCAATCTAATTTACAGAAAATTTTATTAGTTTTCTAGTCATCATCCTTTAATTCATCTACAACTTTTAAAATCATTTCATCTATTTTTTTCACAGTAAACAAACAAATCTATGATTACTGTATACAATTTACTTATAATGATTAGTGTTGATAACCTAGGTCCCACTAATATTTCAAACGTATCCCAAAATTAATATTTTGCATTTACATGTATGTCATTTAGAGAGTGATATTGGAATAAGTGATGAATACCCCCCCCCCCTCCCCCGACGAAAAACTAAAATTCTTTTACCAGTATATTAAATAGAGAAAATTATTTTATAATGCATAATATAACTAGAGGAATGTTTAAACATAGTAAGTCAACCTTACATAGTACTAAATATATGTTTAAGAAAGTTAAGACAGACTTAAGTCACCTCTATAGGCCGCCTAAGTTTTGCTAAGATTGTCAAATCTTAGCATGTTTCTAGTTACGGTCTTAAGTTTAAAACTGTGCTTAAGTCCTACTTAAGCATGGTCTTAGACTTAAGTACCCTTTATGTTACGACCCCCTGCTTTCTAAGCTGGGGCCAGTACACATTGATCTTGTAATCGATCTAATTCTTTTTTCACTGATGTATTATTGAAGACAGACGGATAGATGGTTTTCATATTGCACCCCATTCGCTTAATGCGAGATTTCAACATCCATCTATTTTTTATCCATTCTGACAAAGTGTCAAGGTTTTTTTTTATGTTTTCCCATCGCCTGGCGTAATCTTCCAAAGAATTCATAATATTTATGAAATTATGACGCAAGTTGAAAGATGGTTCCCTAAATTTTGGCCCTTTTAAAGTAAGTAATTTAAAGTTCTCATTATTAACTATATTTACGTAACCAGTAATGACCTGTTCAGCAGAACTATAGTTGTGGGAGAACAAGGACACGTTGGAGGATTATGTTTCAGATGTTCAGTATCTAGGCACTGTAAAGTTAAAGTATGGAAGCAGTAGTCGATGTATATTTGGAAGAAAAACAAGGTGTGAACTTCAACTTGGTATATGGTGGAACACAAGGCTGGACCCAAGTATTTTTTTAAAGGATGCTTTTGGATTTCCCCTATCAATTTTTTTTTAAATATTAAGGAATGAATTTAGTAGTTACCCAAGTTATACGAAGCGGTTTATAAAAAATGTAAACTGTTCAAATCCAGGTTATACAGTATAACTTGGGTAGCTATTTAATTCATTCCGTATAATTTAAGTGTAGAAAATAAGAAAATTTCTCCTTCAAAAATGCCCCTAAATTGTACATATTTCAAATGTAACGTCAAGCGGATTGATAAGTTTTTGACGTAAGTTATTGTGACGTAGGCAACACAGGTTATAGACTAATTTTTTTTTATCAAATCAAATGACGCGTTACAACCAAAACTAAATTATTAGAATATATTTTAAATTGCATCTCAGAACAATAATTCAGATAAAAGAAAATAGTACAACAATTACGGGGGTGTATGGTGTATTTTCCAGTTTTCTTCATTACATGTGAATGTTGGTAAACAATGATAAATTTTAATACGTCATACTTTTTTTCAATATTTAACTGGCATTTAGTATCAAAAGTTTAATTAGACATTAAAGTAAATATTCCCCGCATTATTTTTCCCCTACATGTTAGCATTAAGAAATGATAAACATTACGTCACGTCATATTTCAGGTTCATAGAAATCAGGACTTTTAAATTCACAAATCAAGAAGTATTTACATGTACATGTGTATTTATTTCCCAACAGTAAAACTGAATTGACTTCATAGATAAGAAAGTGTAGGGGAAGTATATTGTACTTAAACATGGCAAGACTGACCATAATCTCATCTAGATGATAACAAAGGCGAGCAGGGGATTCAATTCAACCCAATTTTAATCGTAACAAGCGGCCAAATTTCGGGCAAGATTTCCTGAATCACTTTATGTGATATTGGGCTGTGATTCGTTGAGATATTATTACAAAATATCAAATACTCAAGGATCTTGCTGAAAATACACTGGCCATTGTAAGATGCGTTTTAGATCTTATAAATTAATCCCCTTTCACGATGATTTTTTTAAAATCAGAAACACCATAACTTTGGATAAATAAAAAAATGAACAATGTGACAATATTTTTTTCTATAAATACATATAATATATATTATATATATATACGCAAAAATTACTTTAATATACATTTTAAATAAATAATAATTCATTTATGATAATCATTCTTATGAACTTTGAATTAGTGAGCTCATAAAGCTGCCTCAGGTTAGACATGAATTTCAAAATTCAGAAAGAAATACATGTACACATAAGCAACGGTGTCAAACATCCGACTAAATTTCCTGGAATAAATTTATATTGTTATACAACGTATATGGTTTTACTTTTTAATGTTTTTTCTTCGATTTTTAAGACCATAAGGACTTTTTGTTTTGTTTTTGTTTGTTTGTTTTTTTTTTGTTTGTTTGTTTGTTTTTTAAATCATCGTTGCTCCCCATCGCCTACAAGTTAATACAGCATAAGCTAAATCTGTAAGCATTGGATCGTTTAAAAAAAGCACATACATACATTGTATATTAAGATTCGGACTATATGTCCGACCAAACCTCATACAGGAAAATTTCTATCTGTAACAGTAAAAGGCATAAAGTTAGTTGAAAATCCCTGATTTTGCAATATATGTTTTATTTTAAGATAGCCTCAACCCATTTTCATGGGTTTTTTTCTTCCAGAGAAGTGTTAATAAGATGAAATCAATTAGCAGCATGCGTTCCCCCGCCCACAGCATGGTATCTGTTAATAAATCATACATTTTACTCATCTTGTTACTTTATTTACCTTTCAACAATTCCAAACATCCCTATATGACCTTGGAATTAGCATTCCGACGTGCATGTTGGGGTCTTTTATCATGCACTATCCAGAGTTGTCGTTCCCGCTACGCTCCCAAATACACCTCTGTAAACGCTTAAATATTATACATTTCTTGGAAAAATTGTAAATGAAAAATTATATAAATAATCGTTTTTAATAAAATTCATTACCGGAAAACATTTATTTCAATCTATTTCCTTGAAAAAAAAAATTATTTCACTTTTTAATTTTTACTCCGCAAAATAGTTCCCTAAAAACCTTGAAAATAAATCGTTTTGTGGGATGATAGATTTAAAATAATTGATAAATTATCATCTTTATCTATAATTACAATAACTAATAACTATTTTAATTTCAAATTTTCACCGTTTAAAACTTGTACAAAAATCTTGTACAACGAGCTAGCGTTCACAGAGGTGTTGGGAGCGTAGCAGAAGACAAAGTATGGACAGAAAATGTGTCTGGTTAGTCTGGTTTCTCAACTAGACAGCTAAAGCTCTGCAGCTAATATTTCTTATAAAGCTGTATGCAATAAATTATCTATTTTTTTATCGTATATTTAACAATTAAATTAAAAATATTGGTTACAATTTTAATATTTTGAAAACCATTACATTTCAGATTAAAAGTTCGGACAGTGCTATGTTCTTCGATGATTAATAAATCTAATACAGAGTGAATAAAATATTTGGTTTACAATGTTTATCTTTTTTAGATTTCATTTAAATTTTAAATATCTCAATTACCCCCCCCCCCCCAAATCAATAAAAAATCAGTTACATGACTGAAATTATAAAACCCTGATCTTTATTAAGACCCAGTCTTTATAATCATGTGTTATATATGGGAGAGGAACTATTAAGTTGGTAGAACTTGTTTCTTATCCCTTTGATTGTCAATAAAATATGTTCAAAACAAAAACCCAGTCTTTCAATACTGTGTCAGTACTTTGATTTTATACCTTTCCGCTTCCATCCAGTTATTTAATAGTCATGAATTTCAAACCCCAGTAAGGGGTCTATTGTTTATTACACCTAGGCAACGGTGTTCTGTTAAATTTCCAGGAATGACTTTTATTGTCATACCTTTTCATGATTTCTAATATTTCTAAGACCACCAGGAGAGATGAAACCCTAATCTTTTCTCCCCATCCCTAAAATGTGGAATATAATAAACTGGTATGTGTCATTAGTAGAGATATGTACATACATACATGAATGCTCAAGTTTACGGAGTAATTACGTCTCAGTATGCCTAGCTAATGACCAGCTATGCACCAAGATGTGCATTTTCTAATTAATTATCAAAAACAGTAATTTGAGGGACACAGGGAATGATGACACAAGAAAGATATCACGCAGATACAATCAGTTAGCAGCTTGCCACGAAAGAACATTATTATTATCAAAACCTACATGTATATGAATGTGGAAATGAAATAACAATGATTAAAGTTCATAATCTGAATCGTTTTTATGAATGACATGAAACAAATAAAGTGGAAAAGAAAATTCGTCTAATCTAAGACTTCCGTAATTCAGAATTAAGTAATTTTCCAAAAACAGCGTTGTAAGGATGTGCGAATTTGGTTGCATCTCCTTTTTGATCCACCATATGTCTGTTCTCGTTGGCCCACTTAAAAAGGCTCCCTTCCATATTGTAGAAAGATAGATGGTCATTTCCTAGAGATGAGAATATAAATTGTCATCTGTTATTTCGAACACTGATAGAAAAAAAAAAATTTAAAAACTGGGTATGTTTTCATAATGTTCTATGTGCTTTCTTGCACAACATTTAAAAAGGAATATAATGCACTAAAATCAAATTTGTACTTCAAGAAATTGTATTATACATATTACACATGTAATAACCAAGAAAAAGACTGACATTTAACATTCAAAATTACTTAAGTTAATGTCCCTCAAATTAAATAAACGGCATAAATCTAAGAAGATAATACGGTTTTACTGGCTTAAACTTAATATTGTATAAAGAGAGCTTAATGTAACATTTCTCCCCGTGAAATCTAATTGAAAAGTAAAACCAATTTACTTTATATAAGAAGAGGAAATTAATGGTCCTCCGTGTTAAAATAATTTTGAAAAAAAAAGTTTAGATTGTTTTGTGGCTGTAGCTTTGCTGTTGATCAAATTTGAAACTCACTCAACGATATCTTAGTTGATATCATGTTGGATTGTAAGTGTATGATGTCGCATTGGTTTGAATACCCCCACCCCACCCCACCCCCCAAAAATAAAGCATCCTATATACCTTTTTGAAGAATGCTAGATTTCCTAGTTATATCAATCTTATTTCTTAACGTTTAACTTTAAACTTTAGTAATGTGAAGAAATATGTTGTTTTTTTTAACAATTACATAAACTTCATAAACAACAAATTTATCATTTTTGCCTTATTTGTAAGTTATATATTTTTAAGTATGGTTATTGATATTACCCATTGATTTATTGACGTAATCCTGCAATTTCTGTGCGACTAAAGCTGACCGATATCCAACAGAACAGTAACAAACCACATCCAAGAGGTCTGTCAAAAGAAAGTACCAATATTTCAAATTCTTCGTCTAAGGGCAAGAAAGCAAGGAACAATGGGTTATTTTTTTTTTATTCGTATTGGTAATATTAATATTAATGCTCGTGACAATGGACGAAACTCAAGGTTGTTTAGGTTTGTTACTAACACATGCGCATCATCTGCGTAGAGTGGGACATGCATGCAAGTTTCACTCAAATGACAGTAATGTAATGAATAATTGTTACCATTTGTTGATTTATCAATATCTGCAGCATGAAGGATCTCTTCTGGAGACGATTCGTAGTTAACACGGACAGCGCCATCTATGTGACTGATGTTATACTCATCTTCGGCTCTACAATCCTAACATAATATAGTTTCGTTAATTTATACGATCAATCTGTCTGATTAAACACCCCCCTTACCCCCCCCCCCCCAACCAAAGGAGGTCTGCTTAGATTTCTTTCCAAAAGAAGATGAATGTTTAGGTGTTTTCTAAACCAATTGAACAGAAATTGAGAATTCAAGTCGAATCAGCTATAAACCTTAAAATAAAACAAGTACACTGTACTACAACCGAACCCCAGACTGCCACAACTACCGTCTGTAATTACACACTTTACATGGGAACAGGCATCACAATTAAAATAAGAGCAATATTTCTTGAATTCGTATGACTGAATTTAAAAAAAAAATCAATATCTTACTAATATGATAGCTAACACAGACGTGTCGGTAATACTAGATTCTGATGTGAATTTTATGGTAGATCTAGAGATAGTATTATAACATTAAATGTATCTCTATTTGAAAACTTCAGAGAAGACTTTCAGTGCAGTGCATAAAACTTTCGAGCAGATAAAATGTATAACAAATTAAATATCTGTATATGTGAAAGATGAGTTAAACCCACTATCCCTCTTTTTTAACAAAATTGATCTAATATAATAAAGAAAACTTTGCTATTTTATTTTCAATAATTTGTTAAGCTAACATAGCTACATTGTACATGTATGTAAATTCTGACCAGGATTTTGACTCGAGATGCGGAGCTTTGTGTTTCCTGGAAGGTATGAGATCCCTGGGAGTTTTGGGATTCCTGGGAGCTTTGGGATTCCTGACTATTGTAAAGTCGCTTGAACAGCCATTGAGTACTAATGTTACGTGCACGAGGAAAGCGTTTACTTATAGAAGCAATAGTCAATCTCATCCCAATCCCAGGCTTAGAGGACTCCTCATCCTTCAGAGAATCAGCCATATCAGTCTAATAAAATAGAATAATTAAAATAGTTTGAATTAAGTGCATGTTTATGTCATTTATTAAGTTTTTTTAGCAACAGTTCTGTTTTAAGTGCATATATTGTGCAATCTCCGAAGTTGAACTTAAATATATAAAATATTTTCCCGGAATAGTATTTTCCGTCGTGCTCATTCCGCATTTCAATAGAAACGACACACCTACCGGGCTACTTTCTGTTTCACTTGTGGGGACTACTGTCTTTTCATCTCAAGTCCTTTGGAAAATGGTAAAAGAAATTCACGTTGAGGGTCTTGAGGCATACAAAAAGACAGTGAGTGAAAATCAAGGAAAGACGATATTTGCTCTGTTTTCAGGCTCCACAGATGATGACGGAAATAGCTGGTGTCCCGATTGTGTCGCAGGTACAATTATTTGTCCCGCTTCTGTCTGTTTCTTTAACAAACACCTTTCCTCGCATTGAAAATATTTCTATTCAATTTACTCCCAGCATTACAAATACACAATTAGTTTTTGTATTAATTAATGAAAATGAATAAAATTTGTAAACGCTGTATCCACAATAGGAAATTATTTTTCTCAGCTAAATAGCGACATGGAAAGCGTCGACTTGAATGTTCCGAATTATGTCGAAGTGTTAGATCCGCAAACTCGCTATACTAAACATCGGTGTTAAGTTTAGCGAGTATAAGACCGGATCTAACATTTGATTAGATTGTCAGTTTCGGTGAATCTCACAGGCACTTGGGGTATGGACCCCCCCCTTTCCATTTTTTTTTTCTTTTTAAATCTGGGGTCGAGTCACCTTTTTCCTATTTTTGTATTCTAATATGCATTGTATGTTATCAATAATGTAACTCTTTTGTCTCTATATGCTGTTTTTAAATATATCGTTTTCGACTGATACATAAAAGAGAGCTCTCTAGCTTTTATGTATCAGTCGAAAACGATATATTTAAAAACAGCATATAGAGACAAAAGAGTTACATTATTGATAACACACAGTGCATATAAGAATACAAAAATAGGAAAAAGGTGACTCGACCCCAGATTTAAAAAGAAAAAAAATAGAAGGGGGGGGGGTCCATACCCCAAGTGCCTGTGGTGAATCTTATTGTATTTTAACACTTCTATAACTGATGCTCAATGAAAACAATTTTACATATTTTCTAGCGGACCCTGTGGTGAAGAGAAATTTAAAACATGCGGGGGAGGATGCGGTCTTCATCCACTGTGGGGTGGGGGACAGGACTTTGTGAGTATTCCAACTTACTTCAAACTTTTTATGTTTTTGAAAGTGACAATTACGAGTGAATGTTTTGTTTTAAATTGTACTCTGTTTTTCTTTAGAATATTCCAATATCATAAATCACTATGATCTAATAATAATAATATTCTGCTGTTTTTCTTTTACATATATGGAGACTCTCTCTCTCTCTCTCTCTCTCTCTCTCTCTCTCTCTCTCTCTCTCTCTCTCTCTCCACACACACAAACACACTCACACACACTCACAAACATTTATTCTGGTCTTAAAGAATTTTTTACGTATGTCGGGAATCACCTAGTCATGTTTTGTGATTTGATTCTTGTCTAACGAGTTACATGTTTTTCTTCTCTGTGACTAAGCCTTCGACAAAGCCATGGAAGATATGTGGTTGTGGGAAAATTTATACCCTGTAAGAAAACAGGATTTTTTTTCAATTATATGTTTAACACCCCCAACCCCTTCTGTTTTTTTTTTTACATTTCATTCGATTGCCTTTACGCTACATAGCAAGTTACAATATTATGCTGATGAAAATAGCCAAATTTAATAACGCCCTAATACAATAAAAACGAAAGTGCATTTTTATGTCATTCAAAAATAAGGTTAAATCCAAGCATACCTACTAATTCAATAAAATGCATATTATAACAGTAATGATGTCTTTTTTCAGACACATCATAGAAAATATTTTCTTTGATTTTAATTTTCTTTCCATAGATTTAAAGAAATAGACTTCATGTTCTCTCGTAGTACAATGAATATGGAACATTTAAACATTCATGAATGTTTACAATGATTTTATTATCAAACACATTTGAAATTTTGGTTTCCATATGCTACGAGGGTTGTCCCAGAAAAGCACGAACTTTTTGAATATTTCAAAAACTATTCGACCAAAATAAATAATTTTTTGTACCTTGTTGGGAAATGAAATTTTTGCTATTTTGACAAATTATTATTAAGTTTTGAAGTCATGTGCATGTAAAAATAGCTTTTAAATAGCTTTTAAATGGTGTCAAATATCGGTGCTCGGCGCAAGGCAATTTTTCGAGTTTTAGAAATAGCATTGTCAGAGAAGTTTCCTTTATTACCAGGTTATAGGGAAATATAATGTGAAAAAAAAACTACCTCCATAAAATTACTATGATCTGAAGTACTCATGTATAAAAAATTAATTTAGCGTCACAAATGACTAAAATATGACTTTAGATGCAAAAACACCTTTACTTCGATATTGTCAAAAATAATGACGTCGGGCGAGAATGCGGAGCACCAAATTATCAAGCAGTACTGTTGAGCGGGATATGACTCCTGTCCATACGGGAAAAAGATATGTAAACGATGGAACGACACAAACATATATCTCGGACACAGATTTATACCTAGTTAAGAGGTTCGAGGATGGCTTGACTGGTTATTCGACGGAAGAAGCGTTTGGTAGACCATCAAACTGAAATGTCAAAAGCTGGACGTCATATATACATGGCGACGGCCGTAACTGAGAGAGCAGTTAGGTAAACTTATGACCTGGATTGGAAAATTGTTAAAGTTTATTAAAAGAATTAATTCCACGATCTTTTGGAAACGCAAATCAATATCTGTGATGGATGACTTGATAACTAAAAGAAAATTAAATGCATTGTCGAATTTATGCTTCAAACGAATTTTATTAGACGCACGATTCCATGATAAATTCACAAACGCCACGAGTTACGTTTTGACGTCGTCAGTGTTGCGCCGACAGCTATTTTACAAGATTCGTTAACCTGAGAGAAAAATGTTATTTATAGAGATATTTTATTGAAATTTTCATGCATTATTCAAAAAATGTTGATTATGGTGTATGCCAATTTTTAACTTCTTAGTCATGGCCGTAGGAACGGGGGGGGGGGGCACGGGGAGGGGGGCGTGCCCCCCCCCCCTAATAATTTTGCCGATATATAGTTTACTATAGAAAACATACCTACTATATGCTTGTGCCCCCTCAATAAAAACGTCTGATGACCTTTTTTTTTTTTTTTGCTCGTCAAGGAATTTTTGGTAGTTGATAGTGCCCCCTCAATTGAAAATGTATAGCTGTGCCCCCCAAACTGAAACTGCTTCCTACGGGCCTGTTAGTATTAGTAAAACGAAAGATATTGAAAATGTTATCGTTTTTCTGGGACAACCCTCGTACATGTATTGGTTAGCATGCACCGCCAAGGTGTGTTTGATGTGTGTTTACAGCTGATTTTATTTGAATAATTGTATTTTCACAGTTACTTGACGTCATATTTTTATCTTGTCGAAAATTAATAACCTCCTACCTGAAAAATGTGGATTTTTTTTAATCAGAACAACAAAAAATGACGTCAAATGCCTTTGTTATCTGTGTCAAATAAAACTGTCAGATACATGTACCCCAGGAGCTAGTACTTAACATATTACTCAGTACGTGATCCCTATAATACAAATAGTCAGATTGTCAGTTACTGCCTTAATATGCTGCATTTTAGCAATCCGACAAGTTACTTGAGAAATATCATGTAAATTTTGCATTTACCTCCACTCAGTAAATTCAAAATTTACTACATGATTTTTTTTATCACAAGTATATAATCTGTATTAAAAGAACTAAAGATTTGTCGGTTTTACTCCGAAACATTACAAGGTCATGATATATTTTTTTTTCTATTAACATTGCGACATTTAAGCCCGGACACGAGAAAGTCTGGACTTTCCGCTACCCTTTCTGAAAGACATAATTTAAAATTTTTGCTGGATTTTGGGGGATTTTTTATTATGTTCACATCTTGTCAACCTTAACTTTCACAGTGTAGTAATTTTCTAGAAAAAATTCTCCCAAACATAAAAATCCCAAGGGAGAATGGAGGGATTTTTCAAACAACCTCAAATCCTACAAAAATCCCATGGGAGAAATAATCCTGTGCATGGGATAATTTGTCACATGTGGGAAAAAAATCCATTGACATGTAAAATGGGATTATTTTTCCCATAGGACAAGAAATCCCACTAAATGAAGAAACCAATTTCTTTTCCTTTTTTTTTAACACTGATTTAACAACACTTGAACGTCAATAGATCTAATAACAATGTTGTTAAAGGAACATGTTTGCAATGAACCATCTCATACATATGTTTAATTGTTTTACATGCATATGACGTCTCGATTTTGTTATAAAACACACACAGGTGCTTGTGGACTGGAACTCTACCCTCCCTGCAATATAAACACTTTGGGTCTAGGAATCTTTTTGCTTGTTTTTTTTTCAATAAGTTATTCTTCTAGCACAATGTGTTCAATATGAAAAGTAAAAAAAAAAATAACGTAAAATAACGCGGTATTTATGATTTTCTCATATTACAGATAGAGTAGACCTTATATTAAAATTTATCTAATTGCTGACATCCGCTGCAGAAGTAAATGCGTTGAAGATAAATTTAAAGAATCTTAATATCCTTAATATTTCCCTCTTTATTTTATAAACATGACGGTTCAATTCTTCCATATTAATATACATGTCATATTTTTGCAAACGCACTGCTTTTCTGTCACAGAAACACTACAGTTCCCTTTTGTCTTTCAGTTGGAAAGACCAATCAAACGCCTTCAGAAAAGAACCTGGATTAGAACTAAAAAGTGTCCCCACACTACTGCGGGTCGGACAGGTAAGGCCATTTCAATTTTTTTAATCTGTTTAGCGTCCACCTTTCATAAACTTACCTACCTATTCACAAAAAACGCACAAACCGAAAAATGCTACCCCGTCCATTCTTTGCAATTTCATTAAAAGTGTGAAATCTCAGTAGGCGGAGACGTGTATATTTTATTTCTGAAATAAAATATGCAAAAAGTCGTCATGTTGTAGATTTTATATAAGAAATATGTCAGAAAGGACACATCTGTCAACAGTGACATGTCAATGACGTATGCTGTATATTTTACTCATCAAAACTAAGATTGGCATGCAAAATAATCAGATTATTTATTTTAATTGCATGGTCAACAACTCCCGATATCAAAACTGCCGATGAAAAAAACCTATATAAAATTCTTCCATGCTGTGAGATTTGAAATCGTATCCGAATTTGGTGTATGAAATATTCAATTGATTTAAGATAATTATTTATTTTTTCTACGTAGAAACAACGACTGGAAGAAGGACAATGTGCAAAAGATGACCTTGTGCAAATGTTGTTTTCTGACGAATAAAACAGATTTCACAACCCTTTATATCAGCAAGCTTTTTATACTCAGTGCAGGTGTCTTCAAAATGCGGAATCTTAGTTAATATAGATCAGAAGTCTGCTCTTTTTTACCGGTCACAACATACAAAAATGCATTATTATTAATAGTAAATATTGGATACTCAAGAATCATGCACTCAGTTTCTGTTTAACAGTACTACTACAGTTCGAATAGGCCCTTTGGACGATACTGGTGTCTCGGTCTGAAACAGAGTGTATTATAGAAAAGGGTAATACATGTATTATTATTTTCTATAAATTTGTGGAAGATTAAATTAGAATTTCATCAATTGATTATGAAATCCTTGAATAAAAAGATGAAAACAATGAATGAAGATCGATTTCATAAATCCTTAAAACAATACAAATCGTGAAGAGGGTAAAAACACCAACCCCCAGAAACCCAGAGGTAGGATCAGGTGCCTAGGAGGAGTAAGCATCCCCTGTCGACCTTTCAAAACTGTCGTGAGCCCAACCTCTGTATTGATCAGGTAAACGAAGTAATCCGTAGTCAAAAGGAGATGGGTGAACATGACGAGCGATAAGCCTGTAGTGTGACAAACATGAAGACAAAAATTAAATTTCAATTATATAAAAATTTTCCTTGATATTTCGTCTAACATTAAAATATACTTTATGTAAAATCTCTACAATTTGCAAAAATCCCTCAAAGATTGAAATTATTTGTCTGTGAAATATTAGACACACACTAAAGCGGGCAAAAAGAGTCATTTTCTCATACTATAACACTATTTTTCGATATGAGTGGGTCTTCGCTCCACCTTTTTGGAAGTTAATCCTCAAACTTTGCATAAAAATATTCATTTTTTGGTTACCAAAAATATGGAGCAATGACCCACTATACCTTAAAAATATACTTTTATGACATAACATTCGCATCTTTTCGAGAAATACTTGAAGTCCATTAAGTCAAGGGTCATATCACAAACATGATTTAAATGCCACTATTTGTCAGGACTTGTGTAGTCTAGTGGTTAGGGTGCTAGTCTTGAAAGAAGATGATACTCAGGATTTTTATTGCTGGGGTTCGAACCCCACGAATACCACATTAATTTTTTTAATAAAAGAATAAATTTTGCCGAAAAAATTTTCCTCAAAAAAGTTTTGTTTATCACAATTTCATAAATTTCAATAATGAGAACTTTACTCTAAATATTAAATTCACAAACTGAACATGATTTTTATACTTCTGAAGCTATAGGCTTTTTGCACGCTATGTTCGCCCATCTCCTTTGTATATAAAAACAATTGCATAATGATTGAAAAATGAAATGACAAAACTATCCTTCATCAAAAAATGCGGCCTCGCAAGCCGTGTTACAGACCACTTGTTGCATTCTTTTTGTTTGTTTGTTTGGTTGTTTTTTTTTTGTTTTTTGTTTTTTTTTTTGTTTCTTGAATGAATGATTCCAGTAGAATAACTAGGGTCTGTTTTTAGGTGAACAGTTAGTTCCCAGTTACATTGATTTGGCCAATAATAAATTAATTTACACTTCCTATTCAAAATGACCAGTCCAGACATCAGTGTTATATACAACGGGTAACTAAGTGGAAATTTAGTAAGTAGAGCAGAACGATATTACGCAGTATTTTTAGTGGTGTGATAATACTGCGTTTTTATGCACGTACGAAAACACAGAGGAAAGTAATGGGATAAAAACCATAATTGAAAACTTTGTGTAAAAATTATCTCCCATGTTTAATGGTTTCATCACTCCCCTCAGCAGAGGGGATAGAAAACACACATGTTAAATCATATCCAATCAGAAATTATAGGAGATCCTATATATTGTATCGATAACGACCCTCTAATAAAACTTATGTCCAAATACCTGTATCTCACTTCCATTCTCAATGACCAACTGTAATGTAGGGCGCCGCCGCTAGAATTCCATGGGCATCGAAAGCAAGTTGTGTGATCAACTTGCCTAGATGGTCCAGCGGCCAAGAGCGCTGTTCCTGCACTGCTAGGAGACAGATTTCGCAGGTCATGAGTTCAACCCCGGGTTGGGGCGGGAGTGAGTATCCTTTCAATGTACTTTTTCCACTGATAATTTTCCAAGATATTCTTAATTTAAAATCATAGTACCATTAGATGTTCTTAGACAAAAAATCAGGACACATTACCAGCCTTGAATTCATAGATATCAAAATGTTTTTTTTTTAAGAAAAATTAACAAACACACTGTATACACTATATAGTTTTTGCTGGTATTTCCTTAACATTTTATTCAGAGGAGGTACAGCATTACCAGGTATCATAAAAATCGCACAAGTTTCAATTATTGGAACTCTTAAATTATACAGGAATAAGAAAAAAAGAAAAAAGTTCAAAACTACATTGCTCAAGTCCGAAAAGACTCCCATCCCCTAAAAAATTGTAGAACCTAACAAAACGCTCATATGAAAAAAAAACAAACAACATCAATGGATTACGATACAGTTGACACAAAATAGATGTAAGGCAACAGAGGAAGAGAATAAGATCAATCGTTTTAGAATGACAAATAAATCACAAAACCGGAGGCGTCGCCGGAAAATTGATATAACGTCATAAGATTAGCTGTCCAGCCCGGAAATTACAGACGATAATGACCAAAGCCTGCAGCATGATTCAGATTCTATACAGCAGAAGCCAAGCCACTTCATCCTCAAAGCTGTAGTTATTCACTAATCAGGGAACATAAAGACAGTTTGATCACATTTTTGCAATTGATCTCATGTTATTAATTACGCGTTATTCCTTCATTATACTGTGTTATATAATGTTTGTTTGCGGCAACTTAAATGAAATGAAATCTTCACTTTTTCTGATGAAATATATATATATAGCTAGTACATGTATATATAGATTCAGAGGTTTGTTGGATTATGAACACCCGTAATCCTGATTTGCGATCTGTACATATGCAAGAAAGCAATTTGTGACGTAATATTTTGTTAACCTGTGAATCATTTTTCACAGTAAAATCTTTAATGAATTAATAATAAAAGATAAAAAAAAATGTATTGGATAATTATCAAGCAAATACGTACTATTTGAAACGTACATATCAGCACGACATCTTTTTGTGCTTGAATACAATATACTCTCATAATATTTAATTGTTATAAATAAAAGTTTCACAGATGTCTTAGAAATTAAGTAGAATTGTACAACATTTGACACACATGATAAAGCAAGTTAAACAGATTGCGCTTTTGCGATTGGATGTTAGGTATAAGAGTAACTGCTATTTCAAGCCTTTACTTGACCTTGACAGCGTGCCTCGTTTTGAATGACACGATGACGTAGTAGTTGCGGTACTGCTACTGGCATATCTGGAGGACTTCCACGTGCTACTGGTTGATCCCCGTGACGTTTTATGTATCTTCCGCCATCTACAGAATACTTTAGCGAATGTCCTGCGAAATCTGCTACTGAAGTATGAATAAAGCAAAAAATTACCCGACGCGTTCATGATCACCAACAAATTACATATATTTCCAGATATAAGGATGAAAGTCATCTGAGATTTTAATAGATCATTGGCATCAAGATACGTCCGGTACATCAAAAGTACAGTCCAAGGCAGCTGACATAAAAGAAAAATCAGTACTACCGTAATCAACATGGTGGTCACCTTATGCTGTTCGCTCTGCTGTCGCGAGTTCTCTCCAACCACTGAGAAATTAGACAATTGATGTCTTCTTTTGCTGGCTTTCCACACAGATTTGATTAATACACTGTTGAAAACAAACAGGAAGACAAACGGAACAAAGGTAAAGAATGTGACGAACCACCAATAATAGCCAATTGAGTAAGACTCTGACTTTCCGAAAGATGTCTGTTCACATGAATAAGAAGTTGTTCCATTTGAAAATGATTCCACTATTTCCATTTCAAAAAACTCCGGGAAAGTGTTTACCAAGGAAACTCCAAAAACAAGGACTGACAATATCTTGGCTTTACCAACAGTGCACCATACTTTGCCACGCATGGGGTGACAAACTCCGATGTACCTTTCAATTGTGAAGGCGACGGTCAACCAAACGGCAGTATTCCCAAATAAATCCGAAAAAACTCGGGCACGGGGTACAAAATGAAAGGCTGATTTAGGCTGATCAGCAGTGTTGCAGTGAATGAAGGATAACGTTAGTGTAAAGATCAGGTAAAGCATATCGCACACAGCCAGGGCCGATAGGTACACGTTTGTAGAACTGCGCATCTTCCGGTTCCGTAAAACAATTATATTTAAGATGTTTCCTATTATTCCTGCGGTTGCGATGATAGGTATTAAGATTTGTTTCACAACTAGTCTTGTCACTTTGAGTGATTCGGCAGTTTTTTCTGAGAGCAAAGAAGTGCTTTGTTCATTTGTAGTGGCATTAAATGCCATTTCCGTTATGTTTGGCAATCCTGTTATAGAAGTAGTCATTACTGGAATAAATCTGCAATTAAAAAATCAAAATTCAATGAAATTACAGTTGTTTTGATAAAATAATGTGTGGATAGCAATTTTACGACATACTATATAGTACTATTCGTTTGTCACAAGAAAATACGTTATGTTGCTATATGGGTTTCAGGTGGTTAGAAATATATACAAGAAGTATTATACAAAATCAAAATAGGAAAAGTTTTATATGTTTTGAAACCTTCTTGAAAAACTGTGCAAAGGGTGAGACGTGTCTACGGTTGAAGTATGGTTAAGGTCTTATCGACAATATTATGTCGATGCTGCTCTCTTATGCACTGTTCCTTGCGCTCTGATTCACAACTACAGATCAGAACTCCACCGACCCACTCTCTGGGAGCACTGTCCGCTTCTAATTCTGAACAGCGGATTGAAAAGTGCAAAAAGATTCTTCTTTTTTTTTTAATCACTGCATTAAGTTCGCTACGGTCATAAACAATGTGTGAACACGGTAGAGATAGGGAAATCCCTTTACTAGTCAGTTTTATCATATAAACCCCCTAATCAATTACATTTTGTGAATGAAGTCTATTGATTTGAAATAAAGTTGTACAATCTGAAAGCCATTTTAGCCGTGATAATTTGTGTTGAGTCAGTGGTTTGACACCGGAGCCTGATCTACGACCACATTAGGATCTATGCTATCTTTATTCTTTCAGCTTCTTCCACCAACGCCAAATATTACATTTCGTAATCTGAGAGGACTTGCTTTCAAAGCTTTCGAAATTGGATAAGCGTCATTATTTTCAGATCATGGAATTTAGAAAATATAAAACAAGATTATAACTTTTATTTTATGTTCCATCAATTCAAAGAAAACTGAGTTACGCAGTTTGATTTCAGTCAGAAACGGCGTGGAACAAGGATTTCAACAAGGTTGATAAAAATTCTGTACTATGAAATATTTCTTATGTTACCAACAGTCTCCGACTAAGTACCAATCTAAAATGTATTTTTTGCAAAATATGTACTATGTTTCTGTTTACAAATATACGATATAAATTTGATTTTTACAATATATTTTTTTTATCATATCTTGAATACTAGAATTTGAAATACGGATCTAAATCAGATTCTGATAATGTGATTTTGTGTTGAGGCCATTTATTTGATATAATAAATAGCAACTTGTGTAAATGAAATATATTCAACATATTGTTTAAAAACAATATTTATACTACAAAAACTCAAATCATTAATTGTTTTATTCCAATATTTTACGTCGAAACATATAATAAAAAAAGATAGATTAACTTAAATATTTTTTGATTGGAAATAAAAAGCAGTGTTTATACATATTGTCAGATTTAAAAAGAATTTTAGAATTAAAATACAATGTAGATGTCTTTAAATGGATGGAATTTTTTTATTTAATTTATATGCCTGTACTGAATGGTGAAGTTGCATTTCCTAAAATGACTTGAGAAGACTTACGACTTGAAATAAATTTATTCGAATAAAAGAAAAAAAGCGTAATATGAGAAGACTATACTTGCTGTGACAGTATTTTTTTTTAATTGTTTGCCTCCATAGAACATGTCTAACGATAGTTTGGACCTTCAAGTGTGCTGACAAACAACGAGATGACGTGATCAGTTAGATTGCACCATCTAAACTCGGTGAAATTAATCCGATTTTCCTCTGCTTTTAAACGCTTGCTCTGGTGTGAAATGCATGTACACAGTTTGCTTCTTTATCTAACAATTGTAAATATAAGCATGTTACCGCCTACTAAAGATGCAAATTGTTGATGGATTTGTTATATGCAGTTGCTTTGTAGATATTCTCATACTTTTTCCGACAATTTTGGTTCTTTTTCTCATTTAAAAGAATAAAAACACTTTAATGAATTTCAACTCGATCGCATTCATGAAGCACAATATTTATGAAATTCCATTCAATTTAATTCAAAGGTACAATAAACGAAGCAATTGCCCCGATATGGAATAGATTAAACATCGTATTCAAGAAATATTTTGAAAAATGGGGGCTAATCAGGGAATCGTGAAGAAAAGTTATTGAGCCAAAATTCTGATGTTCTGTTTCTAATCTTTCCCTTCCCTTTCTTCTAAAAATGAATTTAGAGTACATGGCATATACATCTATTTTCATTATTAGTAATAATTAATACTATAGTTTTATATGTGTGTAAGAAATATTGATTTACAGAATAAGTTTCTTTTAACTGATATACTTGAAATGAAGGAGTAATAATTCAGAAAGATAGAAAAAGAGGGTGTTTTGTGAAAAAGTCTATTACTGAATTCACTAAATTTCTTAATTAGAAGGGGATTGCGTGGCAGTGCGCTCCCCAAAATCGATGGCGTTCCTATGAAACATCCGGGAATTAGATTTAGTTTCAGAGAAAAGTCATAAAAGAGCTAACTTTTAATCCACTTTTAATAAGACAAGCACCATGCTCAATATCATTCTTTTTGTTTCCAGACAAAACGGTTCTGTGTAAAAATTTCTTTCAAATTATGGGAGTCCAATGTAATTAAAACTGTGTGTAAAATTTGATGATTGATTATGATTTGAGGTATTGAAAATATATTAAGTCCTAAAGCTCTATAAGATAACGCCTGGTTTGAAATTAATTACTTTTTTCAAAGAAATGACAGTTTTTTAAAGCGATTCTTTCATAAGAATTCGAAATAAGTAATAGAAATGTTGTTTTTCTATGTTCTCACTGAAGACTAATCATACTGGGAATCTTATACAGATTCAAACTTTGTTGACAAATGATCTTCAACATTATCTCGAGTATTAAAGTTACATCATCATATGTTCCACAATCGGATATTACATCACCTTTTTTCCGTATCCTTTCTCTTGAGATGATTCAATTTTGCAGGAAGGGAAAAAAATGCCGCGACTCACCATAAATCTTTTCTTAAATAATGTATATTGTCTATTTAAAAAGGCATAAAATATTTATAGTGCATGTTTTTTATCATTTGAGAATAGATTAGGCAATAAGGCAATCATTATTTATTTATTTTTTATTTTATTTATTTATTTATTATTATTATTTTTTTTTTTTGGTATGATTACTCCGACCCACGTTTTTCAAGGTGTGTAGGTAGGTAATTATAAATACTTTGCTTTTTTAAAAAAAAATATAATCATCATAAAATTGACGGACTTAAATTTTTTATTGATTTTTCCATTATACACAGAACAAGTCAACTGGACAGATTTAGCATTGAAAAACTTTCAATCTAAATGCGTGTTAAAGAATGATAAATCTAAACTTTAAAAACATGGACAATTTTTATTTTTGCAAACAAAATGATATGATAAAACAAGAGGCCCAAGGGCCTTAACGGTCACCTGAGTATAAAACAACACTGTAAAGGATCCATGGAAGTACAAAACTAAATTAACTGATAGACAAAGCTATGTTGCCCAAGAATTTCAAAAATCTGGTAAAAATACCCTTGCTTATTGTAACGTGCCAGACCCGAGTGATCTCCTTGGGATCATACTTGGTTTTCCCAAGTCTTACAGGGATGATAATGAATGCAAAATATACAAATAGAATGGACACTTGCATATTGTGTAAGGTATTTAATATATACAGATATGTTTTTGTCACTTGCCTAGTGCTACAATTCAGTACACACAGACTTGGGTATACAACGTGGATATTTGCCACTTGTCACTAATTACAATAAGTCACCCTGGCTCTCTGTGAATCTTTGTTCAATTTGATAAAGTATCAAACAACATCCAGTCTCTTGTCAACCATGACTCTTCTACCAGTGACACTAACTTAGATCACCACAGTGTAAACATACTGTGTACAATTATAAATTTGCTGAATATATAGATAATCTTTATGTCAATCTTTTATACTGCTTTCCAGGCAAGAATCTGACTTTGAGCATACTTTGCTCATTTAAACCAAATATTCATTTTTTTTTTGTTTCTATATATATATATATATATATATATATATATATATATATAAAGCACATTTTACAACAACTCTTAAACTAACATAACTGCCCTAAGTGAAGAAATATTAATATAGAAAGCACAAAGATATTCACTTTTACAAGGATACCCACTTCCGCCCCAGCCCGGGGTTGAACTCTCGACCTACGGAATCTGTCTCCTAGCAGTACAGGAACAGCGCGCTAGACCGCTCGGCTATCTAGGCAAGTCAAAAAACTTGCTTTCGATGCCGATGGAATTCTCGCGGCGCTGCCCTACACTACACGGTCATTGAGAATGAAAGCGTTGTTCCTGTACTGCTAGGAGACAGATTCCGTAGGTCGAGAGTTCAACCCCGGGCTGGGGCGGAAGTGGGTATCCTTGTAAAACTGAATATCTTTGTGCTTTCTTTATTAATATTTCTTCATTTAGGGCAGTTATGTTAGTTTAAGAGTTGTTGTAAAATGTGCTTTATAAATAAAAATTAATTTCATTACAACGTGTATTGGTAACGATCCTCTAATAAAACTAATGTCCAAATAACTGTATCTCACTTTCATTCTCAATGACCGTGTAGTGTAGGGCAGCGCCGCGAGAATTCCATCGGCATCGAAAGCAAGTTTTTTGACTTGCCTAGATAGCCGAGCGGTCTAGCGCGCTGTTCCTGTACTGCTAGGAGACAGATTCCGTAGGTCGAGAGTTCAACCCCGGGCTGGGGCGGAAGTGGGTATCCTTGTAAAAGTGAATATCTTTGTGCTATATATATATATATATATATATATATATATATATATATATATATATATATATATATATAATATTCTTTCTTGTATTCTCATTCGATCAAATAACCTGTTAATTACATTATACACAAGGATTTCTTGATTAATAATATTAAGCGAAGGGGAGTAACTCTCATTTGCTTCACATCACAATTGTGACTGTACAAGACCTGTTTACCCAAATTGTTGTCTGTCAGTATTTTTTTAATAAGATTTGTCAGTGAGATTTGGCATTAGTCCGTAAGATTTCTCTTTTCATCTATTTTACATATATTATTAGAGAACAACTACATTTTTAATTACCAAAACATGGTTTAATAACAAAGATTAATATCACACCTTGCTTTCTTTTGAGGGGTTTCTGTCATTTTTTATACCACCGCGTTTTGGCAACCTGAAATCATTTAAGTGTTTGATTGATTGATTGTATGTTGTTTTACGTCCCATTCGAGAATTTTTCACTCATATAGAGACGTCACCATGTACCGGTGAAGGGCTTCAAATTTTGACCTTTACTCGGCACTCAGAGCATTGATCAGTAAGGAATCTTTATCGTGCCTACACTTGCCGTGACACGGGACCTCGGTTTTTAAGGACTCATCCGAAGGACCCGCAACTTTCACTTCAAAGTGCCGAACGCATGACGAAGGAACAGTTGCTACCCATTTTTTATCGACTTAGGTCAGTCGCGGCCGAGATTCGAACTCACGACCTCCCTATCACAGAGGGAGCGCTCTACCGACTGAGCTACCGTGAAATCTATCTCTTTTTTTAGCGATTAAAAAGCTTCAAACTGAGACAGATCATAACGAAAAACTAAATGCTAAAATAACAAAGAATGGATTTCTGATTATCCGTATTTTCATGATATCAAAACGTGAGACGTATTTTTGACTCAAAATCCGTAGAAAATACGGCGAAATCGTAAGAGTAAACAGGTCTGCTGTACTCTGCCTCCTAGATACCCAGAAGCACAGAAAAGGCACATTTACTTACAATTATATTTAATACATTTACATTGATATTATTGAATTTAGTTTGTTTGCTTGTATTCAGGGGCAGAGGAGAAGTTTTTCAAAGCATTAATGCATTTTGCTAATTAATCAATAGAACCCCACCCAAGCGCAAGACCCCCTGACCAAGGGACCACGACATTCACAATTTTGGAAGAGGCTCTCTTGCTCATCATAACTATGTACGTATTTAGTTTGTTTAAACGAATTAATACCAAGGGGCAGAGAAGATTTTCAAAGCATTAATTTATTTTCAGTATATAATAATACACCCCCCATGGAACCCCTGACCCAGGGGCCATGGAATTCACAATTTTGGAAGAGGCACTCTTGCTCATAATAACTATGTACTTAGTTCATCAGCTCAATACCCAGGAGCAGAGAAGATTTTCAAAGCATTAATTTATTTTCAGTATATAATAAATAAGCCCCCCCCCCCCACATGGAACCCCTGGCCCAGGGCCGGGCCATGAAATTCATATTTTTGGAAGAGGCACTCTTGCTCATCATAACTATGTACTTAATTCTTCGGCTTAATACCCAGGAGCAGAGAAGAAGATTTTCAAAGAATTAATGCATTTTCACTATATAATCATTAGAGCCCCGCCCTTACACCAGAACCCCTGACCCAGGGCCCATGAAATTCACAATTTTGGAAGAGACACTCTTGCTCATCATAACTATGTATTTGATTCATCGGCTTAATGCCCAGGAGCAGAGTAGAAGATTTTCAAAGAATTAATGCATTTTCACTATATAATCATTAGAGCCCCGCCCTAACACCAGAACCCCTGACCAAGGGACCACGAAATTCACAATTTTGGAAGAGACTCTCTTGCTCATCATAACTATGTACGTATTTAGTTTGTTTAAACGAATTAATACCAAGGGGCAGAGAAGATTTTCAAAGCATTAATTTATTTTCAGTATATAATAATACACCCTCCCATGGAACCCCTGACCCAGGGGCCATGGAATTCACAATTTTGGAAGAGGCACTCTTGCTCATAATAACTATGTACTTAGTTCATCAGCTCAATACCCAGGAGCAGAGAAGATTTTCAAAGCATTAATTTATTTTCAGTATATAATAAATAAGCCCCCCCCCCCCACATGGAACCCCTGACCCAGGGCCGGGCCATGAAATTCATATTTTTGGAAGAGGCACTCTTGCTCATCATAACTATGTACTTAATTCTTCGGCTTAATACCCAGGAGCAGAGAAGAAGATTTTCAAAGAATTAATGCATTTTCACTATATAATCATTAGAGCCCCGCCCTTACACCAGAACCCCTGACCCAGGGCCCATGAAATTCACAATTTTGGAAGAGACACTCTTGCTCATCATAACTGTGTACTTGATTCATCGGCTTAATGCCCAGGAGCAGAGTAGAAGATTTAATGCATTTTCACTATATAATCATTAGAGCCCCGCCCTAACACCAGAACCCCTGACCCAGGGGCCATGAAATTCAAAATTTTGGAAGAGGCACTCTTGCTCATCATAACTATGTACTTAGTTCATCAGCTAAATACCTAGGAGCAGAGGAGAAGGTTTTTAAAGAATTAATGCATTTTCAGTATATAATCATTAAAGCCCCACCCTAGTGCCAGAACCCCTGACCCTGGGGCCATGAAATTCACAATTTTGGTAGAGGGCTCAATGCTTATTACAATCATGCCAACAGTTTGACTGCTTGATGTCCAGGAGTAAAGAAGAAGATTTTTGAAGATTGCATTAAAATTGATGGTTTTAGCCCAACCCCTCAGGCCCCAGGGGGGCAGGGGCCATGAATTTCACAATTTTTACCCCCTTCACCCATAGATGCTAAATGTCAAAATTGGTTGAAATTGGTTCAGTGATTCCAGAGAAGAAGCTAAAAATGTTCAAAAGTTTACGGCCGACGAACGACAACAGACGAAAACAGATAGCAATAGTCACCTGAGAGACTCAGGTGACCTAATAAAATTCATTTATGACAAAATAAAGATTGGTTATGGGCTATTTTGGTTGGTTGGACTACATCAAACAAAATATACTTTTTTTTATTGTTGGCCTTACATTTAAAACCATATTTTAAATAGAATGGTTAAAGTTTCTTGTTCGATATTTCTTATGGAAGTGTCAAATACGAACTATGATTTATATAGACCGCGTTTCACGATAGCTGCGATACTGCTCTTTTGCAGAGAAAAAATGATATACTTTGGTGAAATATGACGTAAAAGTAATTGTTCAATATACGTCATTTATATTATTATCTGTCCACAAAAACTTCGCCAAACGTTATTAATTTGCCTTGCAAAAAGATATCGTGAAGGGGCTAATTATAATGTTTCGTTTATCATCTTTAGGGGACAAAAGACTGCATTCATAAGGAAAACGCGTAATTCGGTTTCATGCATGTTTTGTTCGAAGTTGGGAGAAAATATTCCATAAAAAGGACAGCAAATAGGCGGTTAATTGTATTTCCTGTAACGTCGACAGTGTCCTCACAGTTTTCCTTTTTCTCGTCAATGGGGGCGATTGGTTGTGAAATATTGCAGTAGTGCTAAAATGTCGTTCCTTCCCTTTCATTAAAACGGTAGATCTGTCGTCAATTAGTGGTCAACCGGATTCAGTGGATTCAAAGTGTCACTGAATGCGTCTGAACCATTCTATCTACCGTTTATATCCGTCTTGTCCGTTGTGTTAGACTAGGAAGCCGCGACCGTCAATTGCATCGCTGTGACAAGGTAATCCGTCCCTATCTATCTTGTAAAGACATCTGAGATCGGTCCCCGATGTGAAAAAATTACTCATATATTGAGCTTTCTTGACTATTTTAAGGATGAAAATTAAGTTAGATACAGGTAAAGTAAAAAAGTTACTCACCTATTAGTTTCGGTTACTGGTAATTATATTAATCAAATTCACATGTTACTTCCTGAAGCAACAAAATTGAATTTTTTATGACATCCATTTAACAGTTTAAAGGCAGAGACTGTACCAATATAGACTACTAGATAAAAAGCGAAGTTTTCTGACATTAAAGACGACATGTAGCAGAAGCCATTGAAAAAGGCTTGATAAATAAAACGCTAAAACAATCTCACCTCTTGTGTGAATTGTGTTTCTTGGCCACCGTTTGAATATAAACCACTCAAACTTCAAAAAATCCCGAATGACTTCGGGTCTGAATGGTAATTGTAGACGACTCTTGATTAAAGTTTTGGCAGTGGGTCTCTGTGACCAACTCTCTGTTCACTTTATCTAACTGGACCGCCGGATCACTGCCCTTACCAATTTATTGCTAGCGATTAATTACAACAAATCCTCATTTACATTGCCTGTCCCTCGTCACCCAATCTCATTTCTCTCCATCTTAGATTTGCCTTATTGCATTTAAATTTGTTGCAGACATACACGAATACCGATTTTTACGTCACAGGGCAACAACAGAAAAGATTAAACATGTTAAACTCACTTCCGCAATATTCTAATTTTTTCCTGAAAATACCAATGACCAGAGTTCGGAAATCGAATATATGTTCCTAAAAAATATCGCTTGTTTTGAAAACACACGCACACATACACACTTTTCACCTTTTGATACGGAGATTGGTTATTTTAAGCTACCACTACGGACACTTTCTAGGAATTTTCTTACTTATCTACAAGATACAACTCCTACAGTATATTCCCTAAGCAAGAAATAGCCTTCAGACACTGATTCGTCCAATACTTCTTCAAAGAACCAAATGGTTGGCTCGCCTCTGGTTCTAGAGTCGATGTTTATCGGTCAGTCATTTCAAGCCTCTAAAACCAATAGATTCTGCCTTATTGCCTTGTGTCAATAGAAGATGACAAATTACAAAGTACAAACTCAGTAGAAAGTCGGTAATATACTCGAAAGTCTCGATCGGCGAATACAAATTTATGTGGTGTTTATATTGCATAACACTTAGCTTTATATGACTCTCTCTCTCTCTCTCTCTATCTATCTATCTATCTATCTATCTATCTATCTATCTATATATATATATATATATATATATATATATATATATATATATATATATATATATATATATATATATATATATATATATATATATATATATATATATACTTGTCTTAAATTTAACTGTAGATAAAAAAAAAAACAAAAATATCAAAAGAGTACAGACAGGTCTCTTTTGACACATTTTACAATCATTGTCTGTAAACTGTAATTCTAATTTTAATTTCACTACTCTTGGGTTAGATTTGAGTTAAGGCTTTACTATATATATAATATATTCATTAGGACTACTCTCTTTATGGCATGTAAAACACTGTTTATTTAGCACCTTGATAAACATAATAAGCACAGTCAAATTTATTGAAGCTTCAACTTAACAAGAAATATATTTGTGTAGTCATTCAAGATAGAGACAGAGAAAAAAATAGAATTAATTAAGACCTGTTAATGTAAAGTTGGTTGTCAGAGGAAATTATTATATTAACAAGTCTATAAATGTAATCAAACTAAGACTAATTTAATGTGTTTTTAATTTGCATCCAATTTACTTACTGTACTAATGCAGTGTCAAATTATTCTTGATATTTGCAGTTTTCATGTGCAAGACTAATTTTGAATTTGAATATCTCAAAAACCTGATAAGAATCAGCAACGTTTTAAATTATTTTGATGATAATTAGTACAGTTTATACGTATACCTGATACTAACCAGCAAAGATTTATAGTGTTTTGTTGAAAATTAAGGACCCTCTGTACACTAATCAAAAAGTGTTTTGCTCATGAGAAATTATATTGTATAAAGGCGTCAATATTGACTTTATTTATTTTACTTTTAACATATAGGGATCAGCCATTTACACCATGAAATTTGTTTAAAGACAACGAAGTATTGATGGACAAATATCACTGTTGCTTACTTTATTGGGGAGAATACATACAAATGAAGTGTTTAATTCATTCGTCTTGGTCTTATGAAATGTTAAGAATGCTTGAATTTATTTAAAATGGAGTATACACTGTAGATAGATTTCAGTACTTTTTTAGTTGTAAGGCTTATCACTCAAACTGGATAAAAACTGGAATTAAAACTCTTTGGTATACAGTGTATGGTAGGTCCTTTAAACATTAACTCAATTTTGCATACAATATTGTATCTAAAATTAACATATATCCTCACCATTTATATATTATATTAATTTTAGTTTTTTACGACTAACTTGTATTAATGATTACACATAGATAACATTTTTATTATATGGCCGAAAATCGAAAAAATACATCATGTAGAACTTAAGGGTATAATATTTTAAAGTTCGTCCGTTAATTTATTTGCAAAACACTGATGTGATTTTATATTTTTTTTAAAATGCCTTTTTATTCCAAAATCGATTTATTCAAAATTATTAATTGAAGTAATTAGTTAATTTGATAAGGACGGAACATGCTTGTGTTTCCATGTACATAACATCAGGTACAGAACTTTTGCGAAGCAAGTAAATTGGGGAAAGAATTATATTTGTATCCAATCACCTTTGATTTTAAGCGGGGGGGGGGGGGCAAGGTAACTTCAAATAACAATATTTTTATGCCCCCGGATCGAAAGATCCCGGGGGTATATTGTTTTTGTCCAGTCTGTCTGTTTGTCTGTTTATATGTTTGTCTGTTTGTCCGTTTGTCTGTTTGTCTGTCTGTCTGTTGTCAACTTTAACCTTGCCCATAACTTTTGATTGGTTGGAGCTATGACTTTCATATTTCACATGTGTATTTCTTGTGACAAGACCTTTCTTTGGGTACCATCATATTTGACCTTTTGACCTTGACCTTGGAGTTTGACCCACTTTTGCAAAATTTTATGAGACTTTAACCTTGGCCATAACTTCTGAACAGTTGGTGCTTGGGGTTTCAAACTTCACATGTGTATTCTTTGTGACAAGGCCTTCCTTTGAATACCAACAACTTTGACCTTTTGACCTTGACCTTGGAGTTTGACCTACTTTTGAAAAACTTTAACCTTGACCATAACTTTTGAACAGTTGGTGCTTAGGGTTTCAAACTTCACACGTGTATTCCTTGTGACAAGACCTTCCTCTGGATATCAACCACTTTTACCCTTTGACCTTGACCTAGGAGTTTGACCTACTTTTGAAAAACTTTAACCTTGGCCATAACTTTTGAATGGTTGGAGCTAGGGCTTTCATACTTCACATATGTAATCCTTGCGATAAGACCTTCCTTTGGATACCAACCACCACTTTGACCTTTTGACCTTGACCTAGGAGTTTGACCTACTTTTGAAAAACTTTAACCTTGGCCATAACTTTTGAATGGTTGATGCTAGGGCTTTCATACTTCACATATGTAATCCTTGTGACAAGACCTTCCTTTGGATACCAACCACTTTGACCCTTTGATCTTGACCTATGAGTTTGACCTACTTTTGAAAAACTTTAACCTTGGCCATAACTTTTGAATGGTTGGTGCTAGGGCTTTCATACTTCACATATGTAATCCTTGTGACAAGATCTTCCTTTGGATATCAACCACTTTGACCTTGACCTTGGACTTTTATTTAAAAACTTTAACCTTCGCCATAACTTTTGAACAGTTGTACATGTATCTAGGTCTTTCAAATTTCACAGGTGTATTCCTCGAGACAAGACCTTTCTTTGGCTATCAACATTTTTTATCTTTTGGCCTGGATTTTGACTTGCATTTGAAGAAACTTTAACCTTCGCCATAAGCTGCCATACGGGGGCATCAGTGTTTCACAAACACATCTTGTTTTTTCAATTTTTGTCTCAAATGAGTTGTAAAATTAAAATTTAAGTACAGAACTCTAAATCATCCGTATTTGTACTTCAATGAAAATAAACTGAACGAATGGGTCATTTTTATAATTAATAGATGGATGGAGCACCAAATATATAGAGACAAAAATTATAAGAACTTTTTCAAATATTTCATGAACATTTTTTCCGTAACTTAAATTGATTCGATTTTTTTTTATTTAATTAAAGAATTTAAAACAGGTTAGTATTTCATTATCAATATCTATGAGTGACTACCGTGTGCCACCAATTAAGGCATTTTTTTTAAATCCAATTCATCATCCTCTATGTCAAATGAAACAAATATATAAGTGAGAGAAGAACAGTCTTAAAAAATGAGCTTCGGTTGTGGAAACTGTTTCACTCAGGAAAGAGTGTATTAATTTTGTTTTCAACTTAAAATGCTGACAAAACGCCATATTAATACTCTCGATTGATTGATTGATTGATTGTATGTTGTTTTACGTCCCATTCGAGAATTTTTCACTCATATAGAGACGTCACCATATACCGGTGAAAGGCTTCAAATTTTGACCTTTACTCGGCACTCAGGGCCATTGACCAGTGAGGGATCTTTATCGTGCCAACGATGACCGTGACACGGGCCTCGGTTTTTAAGGTCTCATCCGAAGGACCCGCAACTTTCACTTCAAAGTGCCGAGCGCATGACGAAGGAACAGTTGCTACCCATTTTTTATCGACTTAGGTCAGTCGCGGTCGAGATTCGAACTCACAACCTCCCGGCTCTACCGACTGAGCTACCGTGAACGGTTAATACTCTCGAGTTTTTAGCTGTACTGGTCAGAGATCAGAAGAGCTTATGCGATAGTAAGGTACGTCGTCCGTCTGTCTGTAAAATTTTTCCTACAGTTTTGGTCTGATTTTATTATAATTGGCACAAAAGTAGACTACACTAAGATGCACAACTCCGTGCATCAGTTTTTGATTTCAATAGGCGGTGTTCCCATGGTTACTAATAAAGAAATTTCTATGAAATACTTTCAAAACGCTACTCCTCCCACAGTTTTGGTCTGATTTCAGTATAACTTGGCAAACAAGTAGACTACACTAAGATACATAATTCGATGCATCAGTTTTTGATTTTGATGAATGATATTGACATACTAAAAATAGAAATTTCTATGAATTCCTTTAAAATGCTACTCCTCCTACAAGCTCCAGACAGCTCAGTATTACGTTACGCTACAACTCCATATCATTATTCGTAGGGAAAGTAGTCCCGGAGAATCGACACTGTATGGAGTTTGCTCCTCCTACAGCTTTGGTCTGATTTCAGTATAACTTGGCACACAAGTAGACTACACTAAGATACATAATTCGATGCATCAGTTTTTAATCTTAAGTAATAATGTTGCCATGATTACTAAAAATAGAAATTTCTGTGAAATACTTTCAAAACACTCCTCCTCCTACAGTTTTCTACTTCTCCTACTGTTTTAGTCTGATTTTAATATGATTTGGACACAAGGAGATTTCAAGGAGATAAATAATTCTCTATATCGGTTTTCAGTTTCGAATAATGGTGTTGCCATTGTTACTAAAATAGAATTTTCTTTGAAATACTTCCATTCTACTTCTCCCACAGTTTTGATCTGATTTCAATATTACTTTGCTCAAATGTAGAGTACACTGTGATACATAATTCTCTGTATCGGTTTTTGATTTTATTGAAACAGCCTTGTCATGTTACTAAAAATAGAAATTTTTATAAAATTCTTGAAAAAGGCTTCTTCTCCAACAATTTTAGTCTGATTGCAATAAATCTTGCCACAAAGAGACTAAACCACGGGTCATTAGTCTATTTATTGCTGTTGCATAGTTTCAAGACAGTGCAAATGCTATTTTTCTCTTCCTTTGTTATAAGTACAAACCAATAGAGCTACAGTCTCATAAGAGACTTGTGGTTTGTTCTGTGGAATGTAATGTAGGAATTAATTCTTTCTATTTCCCTACCATAGTTGAATAGAGAGATATCTTCTTTACATA